TGAGTGAACGAGTTGCCTGACTGGGTTGAAACCACGACAGTTCTTTTTGGCGCCCAACGTGGGGCACGAAGGGTTGAGATAACGACAGATCTGACCGGATTAATAGTCACTTGTCACAATGCTGATTTATTGGCTCTCAGAGTTGTTTCTCTTGATCTCACAGCTTCGGAATGTTGTAACTTACTTAGAGCCGGTATTTGCTGTGTTAGTGTTTATCAAGTGTGGGGCCTGGGCTAAGGTTCTTGTCTCACTGTGCTTTATGGCAATGACTTGTAACACGGGCGGGCTCCAGCAGCAGGGCGGGACGGACGTGGCCGTGGACTTGTACCTGGCCGTCCGGCTGCTCTTCACCGGCCTGGCCCTCACCCTACTCTCCATCTTCGTGAGGCTGCGGGGAGCCGAGGGGGAGCGGCCCCGGGAGCCGGCGGGTGCTGAAGCGGCCCGGGAGAGCGGCCCCGGGAACCAAGCGGCGGCGGGAGCGGGGCCGGAGGCCGCGAGGGGACGGCTGCGGGTGGAGGAGGTCGGGGCGGTCGAGGAGAGGAAGGAAGCGGCTGCCGAGCAGCGGGAGAAGGGGGCGGAGGAGCCGAGCCCCGCGGCCGAGCCCAGCCCCGCGACGGCCGAGAGCATTCCCCGGAAGCCGCCCGCCGAGCCCCAGGAGGATGCAGGAGACCAGGCAGCATTTCCCAGCAAGGCAGAGGTGGAAGAGCTGGACTCAGGAAAAGAGAAGCTGGCGGTGGGAGAGCCGGCAAGCACAGCAGCTACACCAGCCCCAGTGACAAGTACAGCAGCATCAACTGAGAGTTCTGAAGGGTTTGAATGGCCTTTGGGTATCCTTGGGACCTGCCTGCTGATTGTGATGGGGATCAGCATGTTGGCACACACACAGGCTGTGTTCTACCCACAACCATTTTGTCTGATCTCAGAAGTTAAGCAGAGTCAGGTTTGGGTCTTGTCTGGGGTTAGATGATGATGTAGGGGGACCAAAAGGTTTTCCCCAAGGCTGGACAGTCATGAGTGGCAGGGTGTGTGGGACAGTATGGGCAAGTATCTAGTCCACTGGGCCCCTCCAGTGCTTTGGAAGCGTCGGAGATGGAAGACAGCTGTATGGAGTCCCCAGCAACAAGCTGCAGAAACTGCTGAAGGGGACAGTGAATTATTTTAAGCCTGGTGGGCCCATGGCACTTCAGGCCATCAGAGCAGAGATGCAACATAGAGATGGACTCATGATCGAGGGGTGGACTTAGCAATGGACACTATTGCCCAGGTTGTTCACGAGTGTGAACACTGCACACAGTCTCTCCTGCTCTGGAAGACTGTTACAAGAGATGGAGCCTGACATCATGGACCAGATGGACTCAGCAGCTTTATAGGGACTGGTCTATGCACTAAGTTAAGAGTGCACCGAGATAAGAGTGATGGTATATTGAAAATGTGGGATCTGAGCATGACGTGAATGGTATGGAATAAGGGGTGGATAATGTCCTGGGTTCAGCAGTAGCAGTCATTTTTCCCCTTCTTGGTAGCTGGTGTAGTGCAGTGTTTTGACTTTCAGCTCGGTAACAGAGCTGATAACAAGGATGTTTTGGTTTGGCCAAGGACTTTGTGAGCCTCATGCTCTGCCAGGGAGGAGGGGGAGCCAGGAGGAAGCAGAGACAGGACACCTGACCCAAACTGACCAAAGAGGTATTCCATACCACAGCACGTCATGTCCAGGAGGTAACTGGGAGTTAGCCGGAAGGGCTGGGGGACTGCAGGGTTGGAGGAGGTATCGGTCGGTGCTTGGTCGGGCTGAGGGGGGACAAGTTATCGGTCGGCTGGTGCTGAGGTGTTGTATTCTCTTGCCTTGTTATTTCCTTTATCATTATTATCATTGGTGGTAGTAGTAGTGATCTGTGTTATACCTTAGTTACTAAACTGTTCTTATCTCAACCCGTGGGAGTTGCATTCTTTTCGATTCTCCTCTCCGTCCCTCCGGGAGCAGGGGGAGGGCAAGAAAGGGGGGGAGTGAGTGAACGAGTTACCTGACTGGGTTTAAACCACGACACTTATCTCCCCCAAAAGATCTTTAAAAGCATAATATATTCATTTACAAGAAGATTATATTGACAATTACAAGGTTCTCTTGAATTCTATCTCTTCTAGGAGTCTCTTCCGAGTTGTGCTACACTATTTGTCTGTCAAAGAGTTAAGTAGTGCATAGTATGCATTGTTAGCTCATTGCCTTTGGGGGCTGGATAGTACATAGAGGAGTGAACCCTAATACTGTAATGATTTCAAGATAAGCATATTTAGCAATTATCCATAGAATTATTTAGGAAGGATCAAGCAAAAAAGAACCAATTTTCCAAATCAGAAATGCAATCTCACTAAAATAAAAGCAAGCAAACAAAACCATGTCTTTATTCTTCCCTCTGCTGTCCACACAGATATTTTCCATCTAGTTGTTCTTGTCAAGAAAAAGAGAATATCAGAAGGTTTCCTGGCTCATATCAGCATAATATCAAAGTAAATGCAATTGAAGCGTGACCCTGTGTAAAACTGATCCAAGTTAAGGGAATATCAAAATCGATACTTTCAAAACACTCAAAGAAGGTCTGTTTTCACTAACCCAGTGCCAGCAGCTCTGCAGTGCCACCATGGGATATTGACAGGTACACACCAGCCCTAGCCTCCCACAGCTTTCACAGCAACTCGATTACAATATCGTATTTCTTTCGAGCTGACAGAAGTTCCTGCAGCTGGTATTTTAAGAACTCCGCACTTAGCTGGAAACTTGCAGCCACACAGGCATTAGATGTATGTCAGGATCCTGCATTATGCATGAAGGTCACTTCTTTCTTCCTGTGCTGGAGAAGTCCATTGTACTTTGGCAGTGGTTTGTCACCGAGTTCAGCATGACAGTGCTGTCAGGAGCCCAACAATTTTCCTCCCAGAGTCTGCTGCTTTGAAGGCTTTGCTAACCCAAGGCATGTCAAAAGGCAGGGGTGATGAATCTAGGTGTTAATATGGATATTTCTGAAGGAAGGTCTTGTAAAAAAAAAATGTGCTTGGTTTGCAGGGACTGACCTTGAGCTGCTCAGCTTTTATGCAACCTGTTTAAAGAAGATTTATAGTCTCACCATTTGTATGTAACTGTATTTGGACAACACTGTGTGTATAGACTTAAGTGAATGGAAGCTATGCATTTAAAAAACTTCTGATAATTACGAAAAGTCTGAAGGTGGAAATACATTGTCTAAAGCAGGTAAGTTGGCCAGAGTGTGCAATTAAACCTTTGCATGCTTAATACTATTAAAAAATCTCCAAACCAGTTTAATGGGTTGTACATCAAAGGTCACATGTGTCTATCATCTAAACTTCTCTCAAATTTAGAATCCTGAGATCTTTCAGACAATTGTGATATTCAATAAATGGGTATCTGTTTTGATTGTCCTTCTGACTATGCATCCTCCTCACTCTCTTTCCCGGATGAAGTTTGCTTTTGTACTTAATGAAAGAATATACTTCTGCCTTCTTAGAAAAGAAAAAGGGAAGAAAGAAAATGTCACAATAACATGAAATACAATTCTCCACCCTTTCTTAAAACACTCTTTTTCATGCTATGTTGCAAGTGTTTGAATTAGCTTGGTGTAAGTTTTTATTATATTAGTTAAATCACTTTTAAAACCCCACCAAATTAAAAGTCTTTTATACATTTGTGCAGTGACTTGCATGGAATAGAGGATTTTAGGAAGCAGTTGTCCATTATAGCACTTCCTCAACCAATATTGTGTTAAAGGAGTCACTAAGTTAATTTATGCTTTTAGTCCCATAGTGCTTGTTCAGTCTGGCAGCTGCAGAGAAGGTCAACAGAGGTAAAGCTGTGTTTCTTAAGATGTAGAAGTTCTGAGAAATCCTGGGTCACTCTAATTACTAGCAGTTCAAGTTAAGCATAGTGGCAGCCTGGCTTGTGCTTTGGAAAACCTGACACTACAGTGTGCTTTGTGAAAATGCTCCCCATTTTGTGTACTTGAAGGGATGACATGTGGAGGGCAGTCACCCAGGGTGCATTTGGATTTACCTTTGAATGAAACCCCTTTGAAGTAAACCAAGTTAGTGGCCTTTCATCAATAATTACATCTGCTATGTAAATTAATTTTCTGCTTGATCACATGCATCTTTTTGCAAGCCCAAGACTGCTGCACATCTGCCCTTGGCAGAGCAAAGATGCTGCCTGCCCTGTGTGAACTGAGCTTTGGTCTTCCTCTTGAAGTGACATTTGTATTCTCCCCAAACCCAGACCAATAGATCAGTACTGTGGCTGATAAAGACTTCATTTTTGGTTATACACACTGATCTCTCTCTCTACCTGGTACTTGTCATGCCCACATGGTCTAATCATTCTCGGTGCTGGGAATGTTTTCTTAATGACCGGCCTACAGTTATGTTTACTTAATAAATGCCTATTTGTCTGAGAGTCCCACAGCCTTTGCAAATTGTTCATTTTATAACAGATGTGTTTCTGACTCACCTCCCCCTGAGTTCATGCGTGTATTTGTGGAAGTGCAAATGTGCGTGAAAACGTTAAGCAAATGATGCTAGAAATTTTCTACATTTTGAAGGGAAATGTTTTCAGCTGGCCATGTGGGAATGCTTCAATATTTCATTAAAAAAAAAAAATAAAAGTGTATATGAGTTGAAATAATGAAGGTTAATGTGTGCTGACAATTTCTGGGTTAAGCTTCCCTTCTTAGGAGGTTTGATCCTTGTGACTCCAGAACAATAAACTGTGAAAAGAAAGTAAATAGTCAAAAATAAACCCATAAAATATACACTACATCAATATCTAGGCAGAGATTGAGTTTAGCGAAACAGGATAGTATTTGCTTGTATTAAAACATATTTGAAACAGAAGGAAAAGATTTCATGTTGAAACATAGCTTAGATACAGGAGTCTTGTGAGACTTCCTTTGTGTTAAATCTAAGAAGCCAAGGACATATAAATCAAATAAATAGACATTACCTACTTTTTAAACTTTATGTTTGCTCTTACAGAGATTGCAAGCCCTAGTTATTTCTGTTTGTTATGTCTTGAAGGACATTAAGGAGAGCAGCCCAAACAAATTAAGATGGGAAACCACTCCCTGCAAGAACAAGATATGTGGTCTCTATGGTAACTTCCTGAAAGAGCTTATCATACTGTTTTAAGCCATTATAGATATTCCAAATTCAAGCAGAAGTATAATGGCTTACCACAGCACAAGAAAAACTGGAAGTGTTCCAGGCCAGATTAGATTGGGCTTGGAGCACCCTGGTCTAGTGGAAGGAGTCCCTGCCCACAGCAGGGGTTTGGAACTGGATGAACTTTAAGGTCCCTTCCAACCCAAACCAATCTGTGATTCTGTGATTCTATTACTACACTGAAGCAAGCTTTGAGCTGGAGGTGCTAGTTTGAATCAGTTACCAAATAGACAAGAATATGGATCCAAGTTGCTCAGTATTTACCTGGTCATGATCTTACTGGTCAGATGGAAATAAATTTAGCCAGGATTGCTCATTTTAGAGGGTAACGACATAGTTTCCACAGAATGATGAATCCATGGAGTCAGCTTGCAGAAAAAAAAAAAACACCACATCTTTATCATCATCCCAGTATTTCAGATACTTTTTGCAAAACAAGCTCCAATACTTGTAGGTGAAATATCCAGACTTAGACAGCTCTGAAAATGTATGCAATGAAGAATTATGATTAGAAGGGGAAATAATTTGAATTTTAAAAAGTTTTTTCTCTGAGTTTCCTACTATTAATAGTTCCAGAAGTCAAACCCATAGAAATGAAGCATGAGAAGACCTTAGCTTTTGAGAGCTTTTGATTATGTATAGGTTATTTCTTTAATTTTATTTTTTAAATAATGAGCATAATTTTGCAAACTGCATTTCACAGATGTTATATAGAACAAAATACTGCCTGGATTATATACTTAACTACAGAAAGGCCAAGGTGTTCATCATTCATTGCCTTCCTTCAGGCTGTGAGGATAAGGCATATAACCTCTCTCCTGATGGTAATTGTTTGCTACATTTATCACAATAATTTCCCCTCTCTCTCAAAATAGGGCTACAGAAAGATGGAAGAAAAGGAATGACTTCAATAAAAGCGACTGAGTAAGCCTTATCCTCAAATGTCATTCCACAAAACTGTAAGAGCCATCCTCTGAATACACAGTGTCAGCTGTCTGCATAATATTTGAGTGGCAAATGTTAGTTTATGAATTTAAAACTGCATCACTGAAAGTAAATGGAAGATATGATTTTTATCCACATTTAGTTTTTTTATTAATACATGTGAATGATGCATCAGTGCTAGGCAATATTCTCAGGAAAAGATGGTGATGGCAAATACCCAGTAATTCCACTTCCTCACTTCCCACTTACTTGTAATAAGATCAACAAACACTTTTTAGGGACCACAATACATTAAAGCACTTCACTTCATACTGATTATGCGACAGCACACGAATCCTATGCTAGCTATTGGAACTGAACAGAAAACCGAAAGGACAAATAAACCACTGTATCAAGGGAAGAACACAAAGCTGATGTCATTGCAGATGATGGTGGAAAAAAAGAACCTATGACTTTGAGGGACTCCTAAGTCTGGCAAAAATCCTGAGCTAAGTAATATACCAGTAGAGAAAGGCTGAGTATTGTTGTCTTTGATAGCGAAGTCCAACCATAACGGACACCTATAAATTGCAAATTACACATTTGGTTATTAGAAAAGAATTCTTCCCTGTGAGGGTGGTGAGGCCCTGCCACAGGTTGCCCAGAGAAGCTGTGGCTGCCCCATCCCTGGCAGTGTTCAAGGCCAGGCTGGACAGGGCTTGAAGCAACCTGGTCTAGTGGAAGGCGTCCCTGCCTGTGGCAGGGGTTTGGAACTGGATGAGCTTTAAGGTCCCTTCCAACACAAACCAGGCTGTGATTCTATGATTTGCTTATCACTCATTAATATCTCCCTAGCCGATTAAATATGGTACTGTCATGGTTATTAATATGCTATAGGCATTTGTGTGTATTTGCAAGATCTCAAGACCGAGACTTCTTTCTAACCCAAACAAGTCTGGGATTTTATGATGCTGCAGAATTTATGACGAATTGCCCTCTTCACTCATATATGCATATGAGAGCAAGGCAGGTTCCAAGTGCACTGGAGGAATATCTCCCGTGTCTGTCTTCCTCATCTGATGGGCTGGATCACAACTCTGCTGACAGCAGAAGACTTATTTTGAAGTAAACCCTTATTTTGGGTCTCCCCAGTGCCTCTAGGGTGTTCCACTTGCAGACCTTCCAGTGAGAAGGGGGAGTCAGCTACCCCTAGGGCAGATTTCCTCTTCCCTCTGCTACAGCTGTTGGGGAGGGGTAGGATGGGGTTCATGAGGGTGTCTCCATCCTCCCTGCTGGCTTTTAAGTCAGTCACACACCTATATGTGCTGTGCTTCATGGTGTGGTGGCAATGACAGGGTTGTGCTGAGCGGGTAAGGGCATCATCAAAGCCGTAGGGTCACAGAAAGAAAATCAGCAAAGTTTCTGCTCTGTTACTGTATTCTCTGAACACAGCTTGTAGCAAATCCTCTTTGGCTTGCAAACAAATCTGGAGTTTTACTTTGTGTATTTTGTTTTCACTTTTTATGTAGTGCCTCGCTTTGAAGTATTCACAGAGAAAAACAAAATAGTGCTTTTCTAGGTAAATAAGCAAAGGAACATGGAGCATATTAGTATGTACTGATTTTTTATTCTACTGAAAATTAACACTTTGGTCTTTGTGTTCAATGTCAGCTGCAAGGAATAATTAACACCGAACTCAGAATGAATGCCATTATAAGAAACAGTACAGCTGATATTTCTTGTCTCATTTGCAATTATGCCTGAAGGTAACAGGATCACATAGCAGGCTGAGATCCTGCATAATCAGTTAAGAGACTTTAATGTAATATGACTATTAAAAGGTTGTGGTGAAGACATAGGCAAATATGCCAATCATGCAGCTGCTTCTGCTTCTGCATAGTACAGTCCCGTTCAAATCTGTGCACCTACCCATGATTAAAGTTGACCAAATGTGCTTGCACATGTGTGGTGCTGTACTGCTCGTGTTACATCTGAGGGCAGCATAGATGCTTGCGCAAATATACCTCAAATTCTGGCCTGCATTTTGAGGCACTGCTTTTCTTTTCCGCCTCCCTCTACCTCTAACCTTTAACTTCAGTTTAACAAAGGCTGAGGATTATTATTCATGGTTATGATCTTTCCTATTCTCAAAGTAACTGATTCCACTGCATGCAGATTGTCTCAAGATGAATACACGAAGAATAAGCCCCTATGAAACACTGAAGATGTGTACTAAGACAACAGTGACATTTGAAATAATTTTAGCCAGAATTGTGTCATATGAATTAGTCTTTCAACCAGGTTGGTTACAGAATTAATATTAATGAATTTAATTAATGGTACCTCAACTGCTCAGAGCCACACCATGCTAAATAAGATATCTTAGAGACTGGAAGAACTGGAGAGTCATAGATGAGCTGGGGGGCTGAGTTCAGATGAAGATTGACCATTTCACCCTCCAGTCCCTCTATAACTAATATTCAGTCCCAATAATTTTGATAAAAAACTATAAAGCCAAATTCTATTCTGCAATGACTTTGAGCAATGTTTTTGAACAGGAGGTGCTGATTCTGTGCTGTTTCTGGCAGTGATGCTCATAGTCCATAAAGCCTCTATGTTTGAACAGCTGCATTCAGGGACTGGGCCCAATTCTCCCCCTTCTCCACATTTATTACAGTTTCTGTGTGCTCCAGATTGGGGGGAAAAGGGCAAGCCAATGCTATGGGAAGGGACAGGGACTCTGAGGTGAAGTGGGAGCTGGAGTCATGTTCAGCATGACTTTATCAACATTGTGTACGTGGCCTCCAAAACTATGCCAGGAATCCTACTGATGAAAGCTCAATTCCTGCCATGCAGCTGAGGAAGCGCAGTTGAAACCTTGCCTTTTCCAATGCTAAACTGTGAACACAAGGTTCTGTGTAAAATCCACCAGGATCAGGGCTGGTCCCATCAATACTTCTACTGTAGAGCTAGAGGGGAGGAGCCTTATTTGGGGAGAATAATGAATGAAAAAAGGGTTGTTCATAGAAGTGCCTCTCCCCAGCACAGACCAAGCTATACATTCTCTGGTTCAAAATTGTGCTGCACTGGCCAGAAGAATCAGTCCAGGATGTCTTGAGATAGTAAAGGAATGCTAATGAGCCTTTGCATGTTCTTCAGTCAAAACACTGCTTTGCAGTGAATGCGACCAAAAGGATTACCAATATATACAGAGGGCTCAAAGCAAATGGGAAAAAAACAAACAACAAACAAACCCCAAAACCCCAGCTGTGATGCACTCCTCAGTGATTTACTAACAAATTGTACCAGTGGACATTCCTTCCAAGACAGTGCAATGCAATTTCACAATCATTCATGAGAGATACCAGGTAGGAGCTAAGCACTGCTCATTTGAGCCCTCATAATGCTGAGCTGTTGCCTGGCTGCCTGAAAAGAGCATGGCACCCATCGGAAAACACTGTTGACTGGGCTGTTGACATCAATGGTGTCTCAAGCAGCTCTGCCATCTGGTATGATGAGTATGGTAGACCAGTACCATACATCTCATCATTGATTTCATCTGACTTTGGGAACATATTAGTTCGTTCAGGCACTAAAAATGCATTGCAGACATTAATCTGAATAGACTATAATCCATTGGAAAAGAAATTAACCACAAATGCATTTTTTTGCAGGCCATAGGAATGTCTGTGGTAAAGGCTGGGGAGAAGATTGCTAAATGTTTAAAAATATCGAAACTGTTTTAGCTGAAGTGCAGTCTTTTATACCATGAAGGGATTAACTGGGACATGTTTACTGAGCCATTCCTGTTACCCACTCTGTGTTTACAGATGTAAACTGTGCATGCCATTCAGTCAGCTCAGCAGTTGC